AAATATTGTTTTTAACACGAGAAGATGAAAGTCATATCTTCAAGCCATATTTATTATAGCCTTGTTTATTATACCCCCACCCCCCACCCCCATTATATATAGTCCCAAGCAAAAAGATTGTGCAATTACACGCTCAAAAGCAAATTGGAAAAAGTCACGTGATCGATATATTCAGTAGTGAAGATATGGAAATATTTCACAGTGTATTTTTCAGTATCTCACTTTCAGTATCTCACTATATAATATAACTTTATAAGTGCCTCCAAAACGCTGGAATGCCGTTTCAGTGTACCGAAATTTAAAAATCAATTTCGGGTAGCATACCTCCAGACCTTTCTAGTTTGGAGTCCGTCCCCCCCACACTTTTGGGATGGATTGACGCCCTTGTTCAGCACTTTTTTTCAGTATTTTAATTCTTCAGCAGCAAACTCGCAATGAGTTGGCTTTGCATCCCCCCCCCCCAATTTTCCAAATTTTAGGCATGTAATTCGGAATATTCACCATATAAATACGCAGGTCGGGCTTTTGAAAAGTCACCTAAAATCGACACTAATTTTTTTACAATTTGCGCAATAATTAGCCTTGCAGTCTTTAGATGTACACATGTATATGTATCTTACCTTCTTCCGATGTTAACAACGTAGTAATAGTCTCTTCACTATAAACACCACGGAGATTTCCTGCAGCTACGGATATTTCATATGAAGTATGCGGAGTGAGATTATCAATTTTATATTTATTCACTTTTCCTAAGTAAAAGCTCCTGATTACAGCGTTTTTCTTCAGTTTAATCTTAAAGTATGAAAGACCATATCTTCCATGATTTTTAGGATCTAGCCAAAATATTTCAGCACTTCTAGACGTGATGTTAGCAAAGGTGAGATTTGTAGGTTTGTCTTGTATCAAGCCTATATGGCAAATATAGATATAATTTTGAAATGTGTAGTAGATAATTCTGAAAGGAGATCAAACATATCAGAATAAACAAAGAAGATATAAAGCATATCTATAATGATATTAATTTAAAAAATTAAGACTCAGAGATTGCATACCACCACCAAGTTATGCATACATTTAAAAATTAAGACTCAGAGATTGCATACCACCACCAAGTTATGCGAAACATTTTACGGCAATTACTGATTTTCAAACGAGTTATTCTCCTGTGTTGGGCTTTGTTCTAATTTTGGATATTTTAATAAGGAGCAATTCACTCAAACGATTCAGAAATATATTGCAGTCGTCAAATAAATCGCCATATCAGCGGATCGGAATGACGAAATAAACAAAAAGTTCCGAACACAATTTTTTAGAACAACTATTTTACTGTATAAAAATGATATTTTCATAAATATATCTTAAAACCAGCAGGAACACAACTCAAAAGCATAAAAGTTCCGCGATTTAAGATTTCCCTGAATAATTCTTACATTATTTTATTGTTTGTCAATTTTACAACTTTACCATATTTTGCATGCACTGGCTAACATTTGGTGAAAATTTGATGAAAATCGGACTGATTTTGAGCGCGCAGAAGCGATTTTCCGCAAAAGGCCAAAAAGGGTGTCCTGTAACCTTAACCCCCATCCCCTGCGAGGGTTTTTTAGGAGGCCCAAGTGCTTTTTGGGGCGCCGAAACTGCATGAAATGAAACCAGAATTGCACAAAAATTGGCAAAACTAATAAAGGAAAAAGCGGTGTGTATTAAGTTGTCTTAAAGGACATGCATGGGCACTTATTTTGGGAATTATACATAACGTTAAGCTCCAATGCCCGCTCGTGAAAGTGTTATCCATCCCCTTCAGACTAGTTAAGAATCAAGACTAATTAAACGCACGAACATTAATTACATTTTAATTTCTTGTAATGTAAATTTTTATCATGCATCATGCCATGTTGCAATTGTTTTGGTATTTTTTGTCTAGAATTATCAAACATCTATAACATGTTGTCAAAACGCAGAAAATGGCGCTGTAGAGACTCTGGATTATAAATGTTTCCAGGAAGAGAATTCCCTGGACTCCTGCATATTCACTGTACGATATATTAGTAAGGTTTACATTCGATTTAATTTATGCGTTCCAAACCACCTTTACACTTTCCAACTTAATACAGTGTGTGTATCAAAAAAAGTATAACTTTTCAAACTCAAATTATAAGTGATTTGATTGTTCTCAACTGCTTTGAGTTAATGATACGCGACGAAAATATGTCTTATTTCATTTTAATGCTGCTTGTACTGTACAGGGTATTTCATTGAGTTGTTCGTACATGTCCCGTAAGTAGAAAGTCTTTTGTTTTACGGGTCGCTAACTTGTTTGAAGCAATTATAGCTTGTCAGATGAATTCAATAGAATACGGCGTTATGCTTGATTTAAATTTGAAAGGCTATACTTTTTATTGAGACACACTGTATAAACTACGTAGACATGGACTGCTCATATATTGCAATCCTTTCTAAACTCAACTTCCTTAAAATGAAGAGACCTGAAAATTGCAAAAGTTTGGGAAATGAACAAGTTGCAAAAAAAATTTATACATATAAATGTATCAACATTGAACAGCACAGTCACAGAATATAGTAAACATCCTAAACATGCATGTGTTCCAACCAGGCCTCGAAATAAGTCGGGAAGGTACACCGTCCGGTCATCATGACCGGTGCATTATTAAATTTGCCAGTCAACATGAATGTTTAGCCGGTCACCTTTTGATTTTCTTATTTTAAGTTAACTTGTGCAGATATCATGAATTTTGAATAAAATGCTCATTATATTGGGAGAATTACGAGAAAAGATTTACAAACAGACGAAACAAAGAAAAAAATGTCTATTATTATTAATTATTGGGCGAAATACAAAAAAACTATGTACTAATATTAATTATTATACATTGTAGTTGGTAAAAGCAATTTGATTGGCTAAGAGCTTACAGTTAAATCACGCAACCTACACAAAATTCAGTTATCTGCTAGCAGACAACTGAGTTATTTGCAAATGAGTGTACATTTCATATGAGTGTACATTTCAAATGAGCGTATATTTCATGATGCAATGTTTACTGTAACAAGTAAATACGTTAACGTCTTAACGATAATATGTTTCTTTTATATTTGTAATTAATTTAACTGTTGGACTTCCAGAGACTTGTTTATAGAAACTTTTTACTTGAACAGCTTTGCCAGAAATCTTATTGAATATAATTGATGTATTATTGGGTGTGGCTATGATTTCGTAAATAAAGTTTTTCATGCGTTAATACTATTCTTATTATTCGTTAATATTATTCTTATTATGCGTTAATACTATTGTTATTATTCTTCAAATGTATAATAAAACAATTATTGAATTCGGTTTTTGCGATATGCAAAATTATCAAGGTCTCAGTAAGCGTTATCAGTCTCGCCTTCAGCTCGGCTGATTACGCTTACTTCGACCTTGATAATTTCGCATATCACAAAATCCTCATCCAATAATTGTTAATTATTGTACAAGTTACAAACTGTTGCTTATTGTCCTTTAAATGTGGTGATCGCACAATTTATGCAAGAATACTTAGTGTTTGGACGTTGTCACACAACAATTGTTTGCCATATCATACTATATCTGCCAAGAAGTTTTGATGACAAATGTATTTGAGTTGCGAGCGTATGAGTTAGGTGCAATGCCTGCGTTGAATTGACAGGCGAGACTTCCGCTTTTCTCGGTAAACACGAAATTGTGGGAAACAAAAATTCGCTCGCGAACGCAATTTTACATCAGAAAAACTCGTCAGTCATGCGTGTCCGTTAAGAACCGGTATTTGCCCGTCATTATGAAAAAAATTACCGGACAATGACCGGCACTATATAAATCGAGGCCTGGTTTCAACTTCAAGCTGTCCCTGCATTTTCCAAAGATAAGATTTCAACAAACATATAGACCGCCCAAGTATTGTTTTCATCTGGGTTTTTAATTCAATTTATTTTAATTTAATTTAATTTAATTTAATTTAATTTAATTTGATTTGATTTGATTTGATTTGATTCCATTTCATTTCATTTCATCAAACAGATTAAAACAAAGGACATTTTGGAAATGCAAAAACAGCTTGGAACGCTTTCAACTCTTATGAATAACAAGTAATAGAACAAGAACGACATTTAGAATAAATGGTTTTTCATGTCCTCGGACGATCAACGTTTCAAGTTTGTCTTGGTAGTAGTTTTCAGTTTATATTTGAGTATTGCAATAGAGATGGAGGATTTCAGTTCTTCAGGAAGGTTGTTCCACAGAGGCACAATTCTGTTGAACTTCTGAAATAAGCAGTTCTGCAAAGATTGGGTCTGTTGCAGTTGGTGGAACTGAAGCGGGTCAGATGATGGGTAGGGTGGTCGATATAATCTCCGGGGGTTAGGTCGTATGGTCCGGATATGATCTTGTACAAACAAATAATATCTTTCATCTCATAATAGTACGAAATAGAAAGAAAATTAAAAAGTTTAAGTCGGTCAACGCAGGAAAAGTGGTAATCTTGAAGTACGTATTTGGACGCTCGTCATTGAACACCTTCCATACGGAGGTCCTTGATGTTGCTTGAGGAGCCCAAAGATCACTTAATTCCATAATATAGAAGAGCTCTCGCGAGTGCCAAATAGAGTGAGCGTGGACATTTCATATCAGTCAGGTGGATACAGTTACGTTGGAGAAAACCAAGCATCTGATTTGCCTTTGACACGATATTGGTTATGTGAAGTGACCATTTCAAGTTGTCACTAATTATTATGCCAAGGTCCTTTTGAGATTATTTAAGGATGATCAGTTCGTGATTTAAACTGTATTCGGGTGACTCAACTAATCGTTTACAGGAGAATCTGATTCCAGTGCATTTTTTGAGATTAAAGTTCAATTCCAAGGAAGAGGACCAATTGCAAAGGGAATGCAGATCGGACTGAAGGAGTTGAGTGTCGTGTGGCGTTTTTATGACTCGATAATATTTGCGGTCGTCGGCAAACATGGGTACTTTTCTGTGTTCAGCAGCGTCAGGGAGGTCGCCGTTAACATAGACTGGGAAGAGTAGGGCGCCGACAATACTTCCTTGTGGAACTCCAGATGTCACATCAAGATAGCTCGACGAAACATCATCTACTACAACACGTTTTTTTCGTCCCAATAAATAGTCGCTATACCAGTGCAAAAGCAATTCCATTATTCCAAATTGTTGCAAACTCTATTGAAAAGTTCAGATATATCATGTCAATTTCTATTCCACAGTCTATCGCCTTGCCAATACTGTGTACAACATCAAGTAGTTGGGTGATACAGGATCTTCCTGAACGAAAGCCATGTTGTTGGAAGTGGAGTAGAGATTTGATGATATTAGAGAGTTGGGCGTGGATCACATGCTCAATGACTTTAGACACATGGAATAGTAAGGATATTGGGCAATATATGCGGATTACGCGAGTTGCTTTGGTTTTGGGAACGGGAACGGTATTTGCATACTTCCACTCTGTAGGAACCTTACCCAAGGCTAACGACTTGTTGATCATGAATCCCATCTGAACACGTAGCTTTCCCTGTAGATATATTTCGCAGAGAACACACTGAGGACTTCTTCAATGGACTCTGGAGTGAACTCAGTTGAATTGTCGAATTCCGTGGTAGGAGTAGGAAGACAAGGATTGTCGGAGTGTGGAAGAAACACGGAGGCAAAGAATATGTTGAAAGCATCTGATTTAGCTGTCGAGGCGGTAAACAGTGAATCAGCAAGAGTCATGGCATCTGGTAGTGAATACTTGTTTGACTTAGATTTTAAAAAATTCCAAAATTCCTTGGGGTTTATTGGTAATGTTTCTGTCAGGTTCTTGATATATTCGATTCCATTACCACAACTATTTACTGACTAATTACGCATGTCATTGGTTAATCGGGTAAATTATTAAACAGACCCGATTGTCCAACGGATGTTAAATCTAATCCTAAATAATGAATAGACACATTATACAAGTCTCTAACAGGTTTAGTAACTCACCAAACTATAGTCAAATTAACGGCAGGGTAAAAATGCTTCACTTTGTGCCACTCCACGTTTGAGTGAAAAATCTGGTTACAACCAGTGCATTCAGTTCTTTTCAGCCCAGAAAGCAGGAGAATTATTAAATATCTGATCCAGTTTTTATTGAAATTTTGAGAAAATTTGACTACTCCATTTGACTTCCCTCTAGTGCCCGTGCTAGTGCCATGCATATAATAAAGTGTGTGAATGCAAATTCATCCAATTTGGAAGTAACAGCTGTAAAGTTATTTTATGACAAAAGAGAAAACAATTAATGTGCCGTAATTAACTTACTTTCACCCCAAATATCAACTCTCATACATGGTTGACCTACATATGTTAGTGGAATGAATCGTAATGCTGTTGCTCTCACTCTAAAATAACTTCGGGCAGCATGATCGTAAGCATTTTTGTTTCCTTGACGGTTCTGCAAACAAGTATAGTAAAAGATACATCGTGGACAACAAAATATTCCAATATTAGATTTGGTAAATATATGCTATGATATTATACATTTAAACATTATTCCCGTTCGCGAATGGTCAACAAGCCCGGAATAATTCTCATCTTTATATTTTCGCATGCAATTGACCAATCACGAGTCTTTAATAGGACTAGGTGTCCGTCCGATAATTTTACGATGCAGGACTTTCGGCTTTGTTGTTGAGCCGAAACTTGAGCCGAAACTATATATTAAGCTGAAACTTGAATATTGGGGAAACCAAAGATCGAGCCAATATTAAAGTCGAGACTTAATATTTTCCCATATTGGGCGAAGAAGAATCCAATAGGTGTTTTATTACATCAAGCGAAACATTTTTATACTGCAAAAAATTGTTTTATAGGCAACAATAATACAGGGAGCATAATACAGGGACAACACGCATCGCACATCAGCGGCGGATATGTTTAAACCAAAAAGTTAATAACCTAGCTTTTAATAAACAATTGAAAGGAAAAAGTGCTGTATTACTAACTCCCCATAGCGTTTGTGGTGTGTTTGAAATTGACAAGGGAATCTGAAAGGGATTGATAACCAGCAAAATAACCGATACGCTACTGTCCGGAAGAATTCGGTAAGTTATATTAATATACATTGCAGTCAGTACGTGTCTTCTCAATGGTCAATAGCTAACAGCTAAATATGGAAACAGTGACGAGCAGATCAATTCTTTGCTGATGCCGAAGGCCGAGTCAAATAATTGACCAGCGAGCGTCTGATAAATCGCGATATTTTGCGATAACAGAGTTCAATAATTGTTTTATCAATTTAGTTATTTATTTTCGAAATTTTGTAGCCGTCACGAAGTTCAACAAATCTGTACAATAACAATACCTAAAAGTTTAACGAGCCATGTTTTGCCATGTTTACTTTTGTGTTTATTTGAATTGCTTTTCAAAAATCTTAAATGCGCTTCTGTATAAACCGATATTTTGCAATTGAGAATTGATTTCAAAAGTGCGCATGCTCAGACCATCATTTGCACCAGTTATTTGCAGCTGACGTATTATTCTCACCAGTTATTTATAGAAAAATTAGCTAATCAATGTTGAGAAAATAAACTAAGTAAATGATAAAACACAGTTATCTGCTAGTAGATAACTTTGTTATGTGTAGGTTGAGCCGGTGGTATGTAATTTTATAGCAAGCGGCAGATTTGACTACATGAATAAGAACAAGAAAAAACAACACGAACGGCATTTTTGCGAATGTTTTTGTGCAAAAGCAGGCTTTTAGACATTTTTATTGGAACTTTAGCAGATAAATGAGATTTCCAAGATTTTTATGGTTTTATATGTGATATTTTAAATCTTTTTCACTGGTTTTTAGAGAACGAAACTTTGTTTTGTGCGACAAATCATTGTTTGTTAATTTAAATTAAAAGTTAATGAAAATGCAATGTACAATAAAACTCTTGTGAATTCGGTTTTTGTAATATCCCGAACTATCAAGGTCTATCAAATTTTTAAAACTGAAAACAATCCTTTTAATTTCTTTAGTTAGAGGAATTAAACCTATTTTCCGAATGTTTTTCGCTTTACCACCCATCATAGTGGATAATAATTATTATTATATACACAAGGTCTGGATATGAGGTATTCTCCAATCTGATTGGTTCTCTACTAGCAGGATATTAGCTCATATCCTGCTAGCAGAGAAAAACAAAATGGCGGCCAAACTGAATTTACAATGTTTTGCAAAGGAGAAAACGGCAAGTTGTCGCTTTTTATAGTCTTTATAGCCTTCACAGGATTAAAAACAAAATGAAAAAACTCCCACAAATTGTTTTCAGGTGAGCAAACAATTTTTTACAATTTAAAATGGTTAAAAATATATATAATTTTTGAAGAAATAATAGGCCGAAAGAGCGAAGATAAAAACATAAACAAAATAGAAAATATTGAAAATATTCGAAAAGCAAAGTCTGTGAATTCAGACCTTGTGTATATAATAAAACAGTTATTTCACTCACTCTCGTCGAATATGAGCGATAGCCGATTCGGCGCTGTGCGCCTCATCGGCTATTAGCTCATATTCGACTCAAGTTCGTAGAATAACTGTTTACCCTTTAAGTGGCAATTATTGAATTTCAAATAAAAAAATATTTTCTTGCAAAATTAACCTACAAATGAGCCTAGAAAGTCAATTAAAAAGAAAAAAAAAATCCCCTTTGAATTTCAGGGGGGGAAATAATTTGTTGCAGATATGCCAAATTGCTGCTTAAGGGTAAAAAAGACACAATAACTAGAAAATATATTTTATTGAAGAACCAACAGATTTTTGTTGGTTTTGTGATACCATACAGATGTAAATGCATTTTCCTTGAATTATATACAATACAGCATGTTATATATCGGTATAGTATATAT